CCCTTGCTCGAAAGCCCAACTGCCTACAGTGGCTTCCCGCTCTTTTTCTTGATCACTTCCACTCTCATTCTCATGCCATCGCTGTGTACACAGATGGCTCTAAGTCTTCAGACGGCGTCGGATTCGCTGCAGTGTTTCCAGACAGTGTCGTGCGGGGTCATTTACTATCTTCGGCTAGCATTTTTACTGCTGAATTGTATGCCATTCTTGCTGCAGTTATTCGTATCGCATCTCTGCCTGTGTCATCATTTGTGGTAGTCTCAGACTCCCTTAGTGCTCTACAGGCTATACGAAAATTTGATACATCTCACCCCCTAGTTCTCCGTATCCAACTCTGGCTACGCCGTATCTCTACCAAGCATAAAGATATTGTTTTTTGTTGGGTCCCTGGTCATGTTGACGTACAGGGCAATGAACAGGCAGACACTGCTGCGCGGTCAGCAGTACATGACCTACCAATTTCCTATAGAGGTGTTCCATTTCTGGACTATTTTGCTGCAATAGCTACCCACCTTCACACCCGTTGGCAACAACGTTGGTCAACTCTGCTTGGTAACCAACTTCATTCTATTAAACCGAGCATAGGTTACTGGCCGTCTTCTTGTCATCAGTGCCGAGGTTGGGAGACCACTCTTCCGCCTTCGCATTGGCCACACTCGTCTTACTCATGGAGAGGCACCCTGTTCCTCTCTGTGAGCAGTGTCAAGTTCCAGTATCGATTAGCCACATTCTGTTAGACTGCCCCCTCTATCAACGAGCACGCAGAATTTACCTCCAACGTCGTCTTCGTTCTACTACTACTCTCTTTACCTTCCCTTCTTGCTGATGGACCCTCCTTTAATCCTGACTCTCATTGACTTCTTGACAACGACTGATTTACTCCACAAACTCTGATGTTGATACCTTTCGCACTCCCCTCAGCCCTTTCTAGCTCAGTCTCTTGCTGCCCTTTACCCTTTCACCATCCACTACCCCGCTGTTACCCGTAACCTATTACTCATCCACCTCCCTTTTGCCACCTGATGCCCTCGCTTCCTTTCTGCCCTGCAGCGCTCTATGACCCTTGTGGCTTAGCGCTTCTTTTTGATTATAATAATAATACACCAGATTCCTATGTTTACCATTAAGAAAATGAGTACCTGAGTAGTAATCAAACGTTGTGGGTCACATCCGCAAGGTTGTTAAACACTAACATTAAAGACTCTACACAATGAACATAACTGTTCCTGTAGTTACAAAGAGATAATCACACATTACTTAAGTCAGCTAATTTTAGAGTAGGAGGCACTGGCTTGGAGCTGCACCTAGTTACGAGAAAAAAAAACTTGATAGTATTTAATACATTGTCACAAAACTGGTTCCAGAACTAAGGGAACATCGGTTTTGAAGAAGAAAGAGACCGATGAACTTCGTATTACTAAAAGAACGCAAGAGAAGATGAGACACTCCATGTACAAAGTAATTTAGGCCATTAAGAAAGTGAGCAAATATCATTATAGTAACAGTATATAATAGCGACAAGTTGATTAATTAGACAGTGAGGAGATAGGTGAAAGGGAAGCTGTGGCCCTTCTGGCACTGCGCTCATACCCAGGGAGCCGTGGCCCCTCTGGCACTGCGCTCATACCCAGGGAGCTGTTGCCTCTGGCACTACGCTCATACTCGGGGAGCTGTGGCCCTTCTGGCACTGCGCTCATACCCAGGGAGCTGTGGCCCTTCTGGCACTGCGCTCATACCCAGGGAGCTGTTGCCTCTGGCACTACGCTCATACCCAGGGAGCTGTGGCCCTTCTGGCACTGCGCTCATACCCAGGGAGCTGTGGCCCTTCTGGCACTGCGCTCATACCCAGGGAGCTGTTGCCTCTGGCACTACGCTCATACCCAGGGAGCTGTGGCCCTTCTGGCACTGCGCTCATATCCAGGGAGCTGTTGCGTCTCTGGCACTACGCTCATACCCAGGGAGCTGTGGCCCTTCTGGCACTGCGCTCATACCCAGGTAGCTGTTGCCTCTCTGGCACTACGCTCATACCCAGGGAGCTGTGGCCCTTCTGGCACTGCGCTCATACCCAGGGAGCTGTGGCCCTTCTGGCACTGCGCTCATACCCAGGGAGCTGTTGCGCCTCTGGCACTGCACTCATACCCAGGAAGCTATGGCCCTTCTGGCACTGCGCTCATACCCAGGGAGCTGTTGCCTCTCTGGCACCGCGCTCATACCCAGGGAGCTGTTGCGCCTCTGGCACTGCGCTCATACCCAGGGAGCTGTTGCCTCTCTGGGACTGCGCTCATACCCAGGGAGCTGTTGCCTCTCTGGCACTGCGCTCATACCCAGGGAGCTGTTGCCCCTCTGGCACTGCGCTCATACCCAGGGAGCTGTTGCCTCTCTGGCACTACGCTCATACCCAGGGAGCTGTTGCCTCTCTGGCACTGCGCTCATACCCAGGGAGCTGTTGCCTCTCTGGCACTGCGCTCATACCCAGGGAGCTGTTGCTTCTCTGGCACTACGCTCATACCCAGGGAGCTGTTGCCTCTCTGGCACTACGCTCATACCCAGGAGCTGTTGCCTCTCTGGCACTGCGCTCATACCCAGGGAGCTGTTGCCTCTCTGGCACTGCGCTCATACCCAGGGAGCTGTTGCGTCTCTGGCACTGCGCTCATACACACCCAGGGAGCTGTTGCCTCTCTGGCACTGCGCTCATACCCAGGGAGCTGTTGCCTCTCTGGCACTGCGCTCATACCCAGGGAGCTGTTGCCTCTCTGGCACCGCGCTCATACCCAGGGAGCTGTTGCGCCTCTGGCACTGCGCTCATACCCAGGGAGCTGTTGCCTCTCTGGCACTGCGCTCATACCCAGGGAGCTGTTGCCTCTCTGGCACTGCGCTCATACCCAGGGAGCTGTTGCGCCTCTGGCACTGCGCTCATACCCAGGGAGCTGTTGCCTCTCTGGCACTGCTCATACCCAGGGAGCTGTTGCCTCTCTGGCACTGCGCTCATACCCAGGGAGCTGTTGCCTCTCTGGCACTGCGCTCATACCCAGGGAGCTGTTGTCTCTCTGGCACTACGCTCATACCCAGGGAGCTGTTGCCTCTCTGGCACTGCGCTCATACCCAGGGAGCTGTTGCCTCTCTGGCACTGCGCTCATACCCAGGGAGCTGTTGCCTCTCTGGCACTACGCTCATACCCAAGGAGCTGTTGCCTCTCTGGCACTACGCTCATACCCAGGGAGCTGTTGCCTCTCTGGCACTGCGCTCATACCCAGGGAGCTGTTGCCTCTCTGGCACTGCGCTCATACCCAGGGAGCTGTTGCCTCTCTGGCACTACGCTCATACCCAGGGAGCTGTTGCCTCTCTGGCACTGCGCTCATACCCAGGGAGCTGTTGCCTCTGGCACTGCGCTCATACCCAGGGAGCTGTTGCCTCTCTGGCACTGCGCTCATACCCAGGGAGCTGTTGCCTCTCTGGCACTGCGCTCATACCCAGGGAGCTGTTGCCCTCTCTGGCACTGCGCTCATACCCAGGGAGCTGTTGCCTCTCTGGCACTGCGCTCATACCCAGGGAGCTGTTGCCTCTCCTGGCACTGCGCTCATACCCAGGGAGCTGTTGCCTCTCTGGCACTGCGCTCATACCCAGGGAGCTGTTGCCTCTCTGGCACTGCGTTCATACCCAGGGAGCTGTTGCCTCTCTGGCACTGCGCTCATACCCAGGGAGCTGTTGCCTCTCTGGCACTGCGTTCATACCCAGGGAGCTGTTGCCTCTGGCACTACGCTCATACCCAGAGAGCTGTTTGCCTCTCTGGCACTGCGCTCCATACCCAGGGAGCTGTTGCCTCTCTGGCACTGCGCTCATACCCAGGGAGCTGTTGCCTCTCTGGGCACTGCGCTCATACCCAGGGAGCTGTTGCCTCTCTGGCACTGCGTTCATACCCAGGGAGCTGTTGCCTCTGGCACTACGCTCATACCCAGGGAGCTGTTGCCTCTCTGGCACTGCGCTCATACCCAGGGAGCTGTTGCCTCTCTGGCACTACGCTCATACCCAGGGAGCTGTTGCCTCTCTGGCACTGTGCTCATACCCAGGGTCACGTTTCTATTCAGTGGTTAACTTAATTTCGTCTTATTGCTTATTCACTGCTGATAATTTGTTTTTATTGCTGCCAGTATACAGACCTACCTGATGTGCACTTAGCTCTGATCAACTAGGCTATTAATGCTCTCATATTATATCTGGAAACAACACATCTAAGCTCCTGAAGAAATTAGGCAAGAGACTCCTCAGGTGAAACTAAGGATCCCAGAGCAGCTAGTTTTCTGTCTCAGGATCTAAGCGTTGCAGTCAAGAAGGCTAATGCCTGTCAGTTCCTTGATTAGGAGCTAGATGATAGTAGAGGCATCAACTATGGGCGTAGGTGGACGGGAGAAGTGGGTGGCGACAAGGAGACCTGACCCTCCCCCCTCCCCACCTTGTGAATGCTCAGTTAACCAGTTAAGATATTCACCTAAAACCCGGTTTTCCTATTTTGACCTGGAGTCGTAAGCATGTATAGGTGCTCAGGTGCGCTCACTTTTGACTTGTTGGTTGCGTTCCCGTTGCTGGCGACCACGGGGCCTTATGGTTCGCCTAACAGTAAGTAGGTACCTGGGAGTTAGTCGACTGGTGTGGGTCGCATCCTGGGGGACAAGATTGAAGGACCCCAATGGAAATAAGACAGTCATCGATGACGCACTCACTTTCCTGGGTGCCTGACCCTTTGAGCTAAAATTCCGAACAAAATCTTATCTTACCTCTCCTTGTGTCTACAAGAGTTTGTACCATCTGCAGTAATACTGTGGCTAGGAGAGCTTTCATTTTCATATTTGTACCTATGTCCTATAAATACAAATAATTCTTTTTCCCTAGTAAATCTGCAGTTGTATAACTGGTTATACGCATCGACTTTTTGCCAGTCTTTGCAAACAGTTCTTCGTAAAAAAAAATCTAAAACAAACTAAGAACATATTCTCCTTAATCAGGCAGCTGCAAGATCCAGTGTATGGTGAGAGAAGAGTGCGCAACTTGGTCTCGGAGGATGAGCGATAATCAGAGTGTGTGCGCGCTCTCTCGAAGGGGCCCTGTCGGCCCACTCTCGTGAGAGAAGGCTTCACCCTTTTTTCAGCAGGTAGAACTAGAGAGAGGGGGGGAG